TTAAGCATTAATATCAAATGTGTTAAAATAATTGGGTTAGCGTTGATATAAACTGCAACTATACAGCGGTTTCTCATTTTTGTTCCCACTGTTTATTTTTATTTTTATTTCTGTCATTCCTTGCCGATGCAGGAGAGTATAGGACAGAGATGATATTTAGGATATTTAGGACATTTTTTGTTCATCCTCTTCCAATGGACCAATAGCTTTTAAGTGTTTGTTTATATTGCACTGATTGATTCACTGATCTGTTTTTAGTGAATCGACAACTTTGTACAGGCCTTCGACTGTAGTTGTGATTTAGGGCTACAAAAAAGAAATGCAATTTTTATACAGCCCTAATTCAATTCAATTCCATTAATTTAACACCAGTGGTTACCAGGCAGAATAGTGGAAAAATAAAGGCCTTTGTAAAAATAACAGACAATGGCCACAACTGAAAGCAACTTCTCTAAAACCCAGCAGTAGCTTCATCACAGCAGACTTTCTGATCAATACAATCCGTGATGCAGCAGGAAACTCCGGAGTCATGTAACAAAATGGGAAAACCCAGCGCTGCAACAAACAACTGCACCTGTCTCTGTGCAAGAGGGGAGCAGACACGGGGATCTCAGAGCAGACATAAAGGACCTGCCCATATACCTCCTCCCGCAGACGTCAAGATGGGACGCAGAGGCCTGTTTTGATTACACGTCCAACAACAACAACGTGTCTATCATAATAAACCGACCCAGATACACGCCCGACCGCAGATATAGACGCAAAAGTCACCATTACAATCTAGGTGCGCATGAATGTAACCAAAAGATGAGGCGTATATACGTTTAGTTTCTACACCACGGGAAATGTTGTTATGACGCGATGTTTATGTCTGCATGTGGGAAACGCAGCCCTCCATTGATCAGACAGACTGTGATCATAAAAGCAGCAATACACCAACGCGTAAAGGAACGTGATTTCTACTCACCTTCAAGCAAGTGCGTCTCCACACATCACAAATACGTCGTTTTTTTTTTTTTGTATTTTATAATGGTTACTTTTAGCTCGGGGTGGGTTAAATTCCCATTCGCGCGCATGAAGGGGGCGCGCGTCTCTGTGACAGACCGCAGCAGAGAGGGGAGGGGTATGACAGCACACATGCTATAGGCTGTAGCTCCCTGTGATAGCCACGCACTGCATAAAACACTGTCAGAATAGAACCAAGGCAAATGCAATGATACAAAACAAGAAATTGCTGCTTACCCAAGTCTCTGCACGGATGTCTTGTGCTTCAGATGACCTGCATTGGCGCAAAAAGTCTCCGATGGCGCATTAGGAGCGTGTTTACCTGTGTCTGTCTGTGCAGCTGACAGCGTGTGACAGCGCCAGGGAAGTGCGCGATAAGAGAGCCCGATAAAAGCTGTAACTATGACTTAGAATGAACCTTGTGCTTACCCGCCTTTGAGCCACTGTGTGATTCTTGAAATAAATAATTAAGACAAAGTGATATACGCGTAAATATATTTGAAGGTGCTACAACACGTTCATGAACCAAAGCGGCGAGGTCATGGTTCAGGAGGAGGGAGAGAGATAGAGAGAAAAAAACAGAAAAATATGAGGTTGACGTCACCGGCAGCCAATCAGCGACCGCAGCTCAGGCAAGGAATACGTCACCGCTATGATCTGCGGATTTAACGAGCGGTGCGGCATTTAAAGGAGACAGACTGAAGTGTAGTGTGAATGAAGACCATAACAGTGTATTAGGACGTCCATTTAGGAAATTACAATATGATGTTTATATTATTGCAAATGTAGTAGACATACATATTTATATATTATTCAAAGACATATATCACACCTAACCCTTGAACAGAATATCTTTACTCCCATACCATCTGGTTTAATCCTTTACAGAGCTTTATGTTGAGCCAAAACGCTACTTGCTTCCACCAATGTCAGACTCACTGTACAATAAGTCAGTTAATGGCCTGCACTAGAACTGTAAACTCGCACGGCTACAGTCACTTTAATTTAATCTGCACATATTTCTTGTCTTTTGCACAAACCGAGTGATCCTATTATGCCAAACATATTTAAATTTCTCAATTGTGAGATCAATAAAGTTTGCCTTATCTTATCTTTTTGTACAAGGCACTATCCAGTGTTAAGTGATATCTGAATTTTGAAATTAATTATTTGTTTGATATTAAGAATTTCTTTGAGAACATTTGAAATAGGTCTGTTCTGTCCAGGAGAACTGTATTATAGTGATATTTTCTCAATGGAAAGCAGAGGTGCAATGTTGTTATGTAGACTGACATCTAGTGGCAATACGGATAACTGCAGTTTGACCAAACCTGTCCCGTGAGTCGTTTCATTCGTTTGATTGAAGGGAATTATTATTTACGTGATACATATTTTATTTCATTTTAGAACATGCAGAACAATAACTATAATGTATAGTCTTTGAAAATCTCCCAAATCCATAGACTAGTGTCCTGCGACCCCCACTTTGGGAACCACAGCTCTAACATGCAGTATTGGTTTGTTTTTATTTTTGCTGTTTTGTAAATACCAGAGTTCTCACATGTTATTGTGTGTGTGTCAGAATAAACATTGATCAGATGTTTCATAAGTGATATTATTTTTGTGTGAAATGTTGTAGACATAAAACTGAAATCCAATATTCATGAAAATCTATTTTTATTTGGATGCAAAAGTCACAACTCAAAGCGATACTGGAGCAAAGAGATGGAATATTGATTTGCTGGTTGTGTATGTTCAAGACCCAACATCTCACTTTCCCTTTTTGGTTTTATCAAAACCAAAAAACATCAAACAAGCAATGGAAATACAACTTTTTCAAACATAATGAAAGGTTCCTGGCTTTTAGATTTTTATTTAAGAATAATTAGCATTGATGTATATTTACACATTCATTTTATCCCCCCTCTAACCATGTTTAAGTTGGATGTGTGTCATGTTGAATTTGTTACATAGAAAACTGATTTTTTTTTTAAATATATAGCTGCCTAACATTTAGCATTTATTTCTCATATTGTGAACTATGATCTATGAAGAGCCACAGATGGAATTGAGGACTGTGAAAACTCAGTCTGAGGTAAAATTTCCAATAAAACAATAACATTTTCAACATATAGCAAAGCATATTAAAGCAAAGCCTAAAGGCAGAACAAAAATAATACTGAGGACCTAACCAATTCTCCTGTGCTCTAAAGTAACTTAGGTAGTCGTTACACTTTGCTCTTTCGAATCTTGCAATAAAAACAAAGTATTGATCCACAGTATGAGCTACATTCCATCATGGTGTAAACAGAAATATACACAAGGCATCTACTCGAAAGGATTGTATCAAAATGTTCTAAAAATATCTCTGGTTGATTCCACGAAAGCAAACAGTATCAAAAGCATTGGCCGAGAGCAAGCAATATATATGCTTAAAATCGTTTACACAACAGAAAGCAGGACAACCAATCACGTCGCTTGATTTTGGACCAGTCTGGTCCCATACAGCACATGCAGTTCATGTAACTTAACACAATAAAAACACAATACAGAAAAATAACTTTTACAGCTTAACTTCAGAGAGAACCTTGATTGGTCTATTGTGCTTCATACAGATTAGGCTGGGCCCGTCTGTACAACAATCATGGGCTTACGTCGCTAACGTGTTCACCAGCTCCCAAAGGCATCACAAAGTCCGTGCCATGGAGAGTATTGAGCTGTGGGAAAGATCTATCACATCCAGATTAGAAAACCACTCTGGAACACGGGCGTTTGTCACTTTGGGTTCACAGATGGCATGTTCTCTGTCCGGGTCGCTCTCATCTCCCGCTGACTTTGTGATGTCTCTGCGTGTGTACGTCTAGGTGCCCTTAACATGGGTTTGAGTAAATGAAGTAATACTGTAGTTTGGTATGAGTGCATCAATGACCTAACTCTTATACATTCCTATGTTCAACATTGCACATGCCTTTTATGAACACATAGCACCATGCAACCAGAGAATGAGACGTCTCCTGAATATTGATGAAGAAAACTGTTCATAAAGAGAATATGAGGCTATAATTTGATTTGTTTGATTTGTCTTTGCTGGCATGTGAGGAGCACTGACACATGTTTAATCTCTTTCTCATATTTAATACATGAATGATAAGTTTACTATTATGAAATCACTGCGCCCATGAAAGTTCTGGCATGATGATCTCCTATCCAGGGTGTTACTGCGTGGAATACAAAATGATTGGAAACATTGTAAATCTGAGGTAGCCTGGTCTTAGCCATCCGTAAACTCGGGTCAATTATCATTTCCTACATGTACGTCTGGGTCTGATCCAAGTGGCTGCGGTTATCTCGGTTGAATCTCCTCCGACCATTCAGCGAGTCCCCCACTCGCTGAATGGTCGGAGGAGATTGTGTTGATGGTCAAAATTTTTCACCAAATTTGCTGGTTGTAGTTTGGCAATGGCAGCAAAAGCAGTAGTAAAGTATTCCGTTCTGGTTCGGCTCCAAATTGAAACCGGAGCAAGAGGAATTTTTTGCAAATTTCAATGCTGGAAAAGATGTTGTGGCTCTATTCCTCACGAACAGTGGCAAAGGAGATGGCTAAAGCTAGGCTAAATGATAAATGCCTCACTCACTCGGGCGCATTATAGCCATTACGGCAAACTCAGATCCAATCATTTCAGTCTGCAAAAGGAGTTAACCCCTCCCACCTGGTAACAGAGCTCAATTGAGTAACTCCAGACCCAAGCACAAAATGAAATTAGTACGATGGTATGGTAAGACCAGGCTAACGCTGAGATGAATCCGCACAGAAACATACAGCACGAATGCTCCAAACGGACACTTTTGAACCGATGTCTGCAGTGGATGATTGAATGGATGAGGATTCCTTGTCGGAGAATGGCTGCGATGACATAGTTACAGTGGTGCGTGCCACCAGCGGCGGCTCAGTGTACAGTGGCGTGTCTCAGTCTGGGGGCGCTCGGAGGAGGGGGTCACTCTTCAGAAGTGTGGGACAGCTGTTTCTCGTACAGGCTCAGGACATGATGCACAAACTGGTACTGCTCACAGGTCTGTATCATCCCGCCCCTGACAGACACAAGGCACAATGTACATCTGAATATAAATCATTCTAACATGAGGCATCCAGAACAATGCATCGAACAACATATAATATACATGTTTAATATACATGTACATTATTAATAACAGAGGTAACTCAATAGGCAGCATTAACACTAGGAGTCCCACAATTATTAGACAACTTCAAACTCCCAGAGTCGTCATTTTGGCTGCTGCCATTCAAACCCAGTGAGTTCTGAGAGATTTCCCCAAAAGGTTTTCAGTATTAAAAGTATGTAATATATAAGGTTTTTTCTCACATTTAAGACATGCTAAATAGAAAAATATAGATAAAATAGAAAATAGAAAAATACAGTTTGTTGAAAGGCTGATGTGAACAGTGTGTTGCTATGGTTACTAGCACTTGTTTTTCCCTGGCGGAAAACCAGGCTGAACCAAAAATCCAAAACTGTCACCTGTCCAGACGGAGCTGGCAGGTGGTTCTCAGGATGTCGACCGCGCCCTCGGTCCTCAGCTGCTTGCACAGGATGGAGGTGGCGATGAAGCAGCCAGTTCGACCGATCCCAGCACTGCAGGCAGAGCAACGAAGCAAGAAAAGGAAAACAGAATACTCCATGACTAGTGTAGCGTAACAAACAGGAGAGGGATGACAGAGACAGAAAGAGGAATATTACAGTTGGAGATTTCCACAAAACAGTGAGGTCACAATTTATTTATAGAGAACCAAACCCAGCCAAACATAGGTCACACGGTAACAAACTTGCGCAATAGAAGTCCCTTACATTAGTATGAAATTGATTATTGTAATATCTGGACATTAAAAGGGGGCTATCCTTATTAATAACTATTTTTTTGTTCTGATAAAACACATTAAAAACATGTATTTCCCACCTTTGCAATGTGTTTTTGTGTTATAGATAAGTAATAAATCAGTAAAATAACTTAGCCGCTACTTTTTTATAGTTATTTCAACCCTGCGGCTAATAGTATGTGTATTTTTTGTGGTAGAGGTGATAGAGCAGAGTTTATGGAGTGATTATTATGACTCCATCAAGTTTCAGTAGCTATAGAGACACAAATTTAGGTGGGGCGGCTTATTTACAGGTGCGCCAAATTTTCCAGAAAGTAAGTACGTTAATGCCTGTTGTCCCTGAGGAAATCAAACATTAATATCCATACATATTTTTCCGCATATGTAATATATTAGAAATGACCAATCACATGAGAGAACTGTACCTGCAGTGCACAATTGTAGGGCCACTGGACGGCGGGGCTTCCTCTCTGGCTCGTTCCACTTCCTGTACCAGTTCTAAGAGGGGCGGAGCTTTGTCTGGCGTCTTCTGATCGGGCCATGAGGTGTACCAGTACTGACGCAGACTCCGCTCCTCTCCGTCATGCTGCAACACACGACACACTCTTTAATCAACGACTGTGCTGACTTCAATCATGATGTTTGACTCATGGAGATGATGTCATAATATAACCCCAATCAGGGAGAAATTAATCATAGATTAACTATGATTAATAGTAACACAATTAAAACAGATCCACATTAATCATGATTATTTGCTGATTTACTGAATGATTTTAACACTAGAACTCCCAGGGCAGTCAATTTAAAAGGTAAATGTGCACTTTATTTATCCTCGTAGGGCAATTCATTGTCTGCATTTGACCCATCCTGATGCCACTAAGGCTTATGTCAGGAGCCTTGTTTTTGCTCTATTTCAAATCATATTAACCAATTTTAGCATTTATAAAAAGTGAAAAAAAGGCTTACTTTTGATAAAACTAGTAGAAAACAAGCTCGCGTTTTTAGAACTCCATTGATTTCTCACACAGGAGTAAATTTCTCCTGTGTGAGATCAATAAAGTATATCTTATCTTATCTTATCTTATTTGAATGGAAACTGTCAAAATGACTGCTCTGGGAGTTCAAGTGTTAAAAGTGTTTTGTGTGTTAAGCTTGGAAAAAAACCATAATAAGTATCCATCCATCCATCCATTTTCTACCCTTTAATCCATTTCTGGGTCAGGGGGGTGACAGTCAGAGATGCCACCCAAGTCTCATAGCACCAGCCCCTCACTGACCCTCTGCAGGTGGTGAGTCCACAGGAGGACGGCTGCTCTCTGAGTGTGAGCATAGCCTTGATCTTTCAGTGGGGGCTTTGGGCAAAGTGGGGTTAAGTGTCTTGCCCAAGGACACAACGACAGCAGTCATCAGTGGGAGTCAGTGGAGAAGGTGCAGAGGTGGGAATTGAACCCACGACCTTCTGGGCTTAAGGCCAATGCTCTACCAACTGAGCTACTGTCGCCCCTGAGCTACTGTCGCCCCCATAATAAGTAAATAAGTAAAGTAAATAATAAGTAAAATGTGTTAAATATAAAGTCTACTTGTATTGGTCCAAATAGTGTTTTCATTTTCTTATGTGGATGAGTGAAATGTATCCAAGCAACCATTGGAAAGGTGTAAAATCCTACACACAGTACATTTAAACAGTGGCATAAGCATGAATCAGTTAAACTTCATTTACCTTCAGAGTAAACACCCTCAGACTGTAATCATCCTCCTGCGTTACCGAGACAACCGTGATCTCAATGCCCTCATGGGTCACCGTGTCCTCCGGCCAGTACTCTGCACATTTCTGAAAGTTTCATTAACAGAGAATGTGCCATTTTAAAGAAGTATTATGCATTATTTGTGGCCTTTAAAATGGCTAACAATCCTTTTTCATTTTACGTTTTAGAATGTGAAATAATATCTTTGGTAGAAAATAAATGGTGAAACAAGCATCAAGAGTAAGCCATAATATCCTCCTGCAACTCCCTATGGTGCCACCAGGGGGAAGAGTTAAATTTGAGTTTTTTTCTCCAAATGTCATGAGATTAAGACGCCAAAACTAATTTATTCAATTCAGTTGAATTCAATCCAATTTATTTTTGTGTAGCCCTAAATCACAACAGCAGTCGTCTCAGCAGACTTTACAAAGTTATTTCCGCACCAACAGATCAGAGAATGAAACCATTCTAACATAGGAAATGCAATAATACCAAACAAATAGGAGCCATTGGTCCATAGAGACCAGGATGACCAATGTCTATAAATGTTAATAAATGTCCATAATTGGCCCATATTGAGAGAAGGATCCCGGACTCAGGCTGTAGAACGGGGATTCATTTATGTACAATACTTTTGTTTTAAAATGGAGAAAACTGCTCTGAGTGTAACCTCTTCATGTTCGATCATAATATCACAAGTTTGAGACAGGTGCTTTTAGACAGAAGGAACAGTAGAGTAAGATGTTTTTGGCAGAGGTTCCCGATATTAGCGAGGATGGTTCTTAAAAATATTTCAGGTTGTAACACGGTTAAAAGATCGATAAAAAAAAAAATAATCTATTTCAATTCAACATATTTTGGTATAGCACTTACTAACAACAGTAATTATCTCGGATGACTTTACAAAACACAGATCAGAGAATCATACAGTTTAGACATTAGTGATAAAACACATGGATCCGTTGTCCATTAATGTCTCCTTGAAGATTTTAAAGAGACAGCACACAATTAGTCAAACCTCGTTCTTCTCTTCCAGGTTGGTGATCATTACGATGATCGGGCATCTCTCCAGCCACACCATCCTCCAGAAGTCCCCCACGGTGTTCACTGTAGGGCCCTGTGTGGCGATGTAAGCCTGCTCCTCATCATCATAACCCTGCAGGCATCAACACACATATAAACTGTATCGTGTAGGAGCAGAACAAGTGAATTCCACCGTCGTACCTTTAAGTAGTTAGCGTTGATGTAAGTGCTGAGGAAGTCGTCTTCGTCTTCGGTCTTTAGAATCACTCTGCTGTGTGTGTCTGCCAGAGCACGTGTGGAGAAAAAATATCTATTATTACATAAAAAATATATTGTGGGACATTTTTACACTCTCCATGGCCTAGTTGCATTTGAATCACAGGAAATTATATTTGGGGAAAATTATAATATGGGGTAGTGACATACAATCCTGACTTTTTTTGAGAGAGATATCTTCACACGCAATGCATTCTGGGATGTTGTAAATTTGCACCATTGGCCCGCTGTGGTAAATAGAGTATCTATTTATATTCATCTTTCATGTTATGCCATTTTGGTCTCAAATTATTGAAGGTTGGTAGAAAAACCAAGGAGACTGATATAACTAAGGATCTAACTAAGTCCAGCAGTGGTACTTTTGAGGAGAAAAAGGGTCAAAAAAATAGATGTGGAGTAGTTAGGTAATAAGAAATGAAGCAGTTGCAAATCTGCAACGCCTGGGTTAAATCTTTGTTGTGTGCTTACTTGGTAAAATGGTTTTGTAGCGATTCTTTCTCACCAGCCCTGGGTAATTATACTCCTTTGGATCAACAAAGTTCATGGGAGTTTCCTGTTGATGGACATATAAAACAAATGCGACCATGTTAGTAACGTGCAGGAGAGTAGTAATAAAAACAATACATGCAGCTAATTGTGTCTATTCTTTATTATGTAATATGAATATTTTTTTGTGACAGTACATGTATCTGCCTTACAGACATTGCGATCCTTCATGGCTCTCATTATGCAAATAAGGCTGTATGCATTCTCCTTCGCCCACTTAGCGTCGCTGGAGAAGCTTGCGGGTTCGTGAAGCTCCTCTGGGTGATGTGTGGGTGCGTTTCTTTGTCTAGGTGTGCGTGTCCGTATCTTTTCCGGTGAGTCTCACTTATGTTTTCAGGGAATCTAAGGGCTGTTGGCGTGTAGGCGCTAGATGCTGTGCTCACATAAAACTCAGCCTGCAGGGCCTGGTCGTCCATGGCGCGGCTGTGTAGCATGGCAGGGGTCAGGACATGTGTACCCTGTCGGAGGTATTCTTGGGCCGACTGGTCTCTGGGGGAGAGCTGCCCGCCGTAGCCATAGGGCTCTGTACAGCCGGGCGTGCACATGTCCAGAGTCAGGGAGACATTAGAGCCCCTCCTGTGGGGAAGAGAAGGTCAGCGTGGACCAGGGGTGAGCCAGCTTTCCAGTCGGCTGCAGCTAATTTATGGAATGCACTTAGAACCCTGGAATCCCTTAAAAGCATTCTTAATAATTACTCACTTTTTAGACTTTTATATGAACTGCAATATCTATACTGGAATGTATAGTATTTTAATGTGTCTCATTTTTAACTTGTGAATCTCTAAGATTTCTCAAGAGTCAATCTATTTGAAAGACGCTTAATTAAGGGCTAAAGATTATTTACATTGGGGCAAACAAGTAAGTCAGCCACCGATTGTGCAAATCCTCCCACTTACGTATAACTGTCGTTGTCATCATAGCTATCCCTCAACTATGAGATGTCACATTGTCTGATTATTAAAGAATTTATTTGCAAGTTATTGTGGATTTAGTATTTAGTCAATGCCAAAGTCCATCTCAATACTTTGTGTAATACCCTTTGTTGAGTCTTCACATGGTTTTCAGACACTGTAACTGGTATTTCCTCCATGCAGATTTCCTCTTGAGCAGTGAGTAGAGCAACTCAGATTATCAAATTGCAAATAAATTCTTTAAAAATCAGACAATGTTATTTTTTGTCATTTTTGTTCAAATATTTTCTCTCGTAGTTGAGGTACACCTATGATGAATATTACATCTCTCTGAAGCCCCCACTCAAAGATCAAGGTTATGTGGTCACTGACAGAGCAGCCATCCTCCTGTGGGCTCATCACCTTCATCAGTGAGGGGCTGGTGCTCTGTGAATCAAGTGGCAGCTTATCGCTACATACCCCGACCCAGAAATGAACAAAGGGGAAGAAAATGAATGGATGGATGGATGGATCTCTCATCTTTTTAAGTGGGAGGACTCACACAGATGGTGACTAAATACTTTGTGTAGTGGTGTGTATATTAGATGATCATACATTTTTTAACATTTCTTTTTACTGCATTGATACAGTATCTTGCAAACTGACAATTAATGAATCACTTGGAAATATATTGTATTGAATTATATAAAATGTAAAGGGCCCTATTTCTAAGTGTGCGTCATACCTGGCCTATGTATCAACATCTAAAAGATACCCCGTCTTAGATCATAGAAAAGTGCTGATTTGCGCATAACCAAGATGCTCATACCGCTCCTGTAGCCCCACTGGAGTGACGGTGAGAGTGGCAGAATCAGCCTCCGTCCTGGAGTCCAAACCAATGTCGAACACAGGTGTCTCTGGCACAGGGTCCAGGTCCAGCAGGTCCTCCTGAGCGTCGGTCCACTCCGACAGGGTGAAGGAAGGCTGCCGGCTCACAGACTGCCGTCGCTCTCCTGCCTCCTTTGGGACTGGGGACCACAAGCTAGCACCGTAGCGCCACTTACACACCATGTGGATGATCTTCAAGACAAACAGGAAACAAAATAGACTTCAAGTTTATAGTCAAGAAACAGCGGTGTGAATATCATTCTATACATTCAAACTCCACATGAAACCACATTTCAGATGCAGCTGCTAAACTACGCACTGGCTGTCCAACTGAAGACGAGCGAGGGGGGATCTGGAGGTAAAGGAACAGAGTGATTGTTCTACCTGGTGTCCACACTTAAGCGCTGCCCCATGGCGTTTGAAATCAGGGCAATCACGTCAGACTTGACATAGCAGTGATTTTGCAGTTGCCATGGAGGAAGTGCACCCTACCGATGCCCCATCCAAGAAAGTATATTTAGTTCACATGATGAGTTACCCTTAGTGTCAGGCCCTTTGAGTTGTGTATGCAACACAAATACAAATATACTTCCCATGTCTTGCCTTTGTGAAATGTGAGCACGTAGACCTGAGGCACTCTGACTGTTTGTATTCAAATTCTATCAATTCTATTAATCTATCGTCACCCTTGATGAGCACCTTTACTCTGCACTTACATATATTTTAGCAAGACCCTTGAAGCGCTCCACCCCTCCTCCTCCACCACAAAATAGAGTCAGTGTTTAGTGCCACATAAAACTATTTATGAGCCTTTGCATCCTTTTACCATGATAACGGAGATGGCAACACCGATGCTTGCTGTGCCATTGAAAATCCACTTGTGCTCTTCAGTGTGGGAAACCTCCTTCATCAATAATAATGACTGGAATACAAGAAAAACAAACGTTAACAGCAATGTACACATGTGGTATGTGATTTATGTGCACAAGGACAATTATGGAAAAATATCATTAAATGTAATTTAATATGTATGCTATAAATATTTTATTCTGTTTACAAAATAATTCTAGGCCAAAAGTCTGGCTCGCAGTTATTTGAGAAAGTGTCTGTTGTCTAATACTGATACTTACATCCCCACCAAAGATTGGGTGGCATGGAATGATGAAGCTAAGGTAGAAGTCGATAACTTGCAGAGCTTTATAGATTGAGGAAAATGGCCCATTTCCTTCCATCACAAAGAACAGCCAGTAGCCCTGAGAACAGAAAGTGAAGATAGTGTTTGCATGCTCATTCATGCGTGAGTAATCAGACACGAGCTGTGCTTGTTCTTGTGTGAAAATGTCTCTCTCTCAAACAGACATTCCAATATCATCATACAGTACGTTATCTGCTTTCCCATTTTCAGTTCAAAATGTTAAGATGACGTACCGTGACCTGCGACACAGCAAAGAGAACCACCCAGAAGTGTATCTCCACGACCAAAGAGTAGACTTTGTGCAGAAACACTTCTTCTCCGAAGGATTCAGGAGGATCTTTGCCTTCATTCGACTCATCCTTTTTAGAAAATCCATCAAGGATTTTGTCGGTCTTTGTGGGTTCATCCAGCCACACAGGATCTTCATCTGGCCTCAGGAAGATGGAGTCCTCAGTGGGCGACCGTGTTGAGCTGCTCAGCTTACGCGTCATGCTCCCCCTGTTCAGTGAAGCTCTCGACTGTGTTTGGAGGAATTTACATTCATTACATGAGTTAAGTCACATTTAGACCAAACACACTCATACAGAGTAGACACAATGTTTTAATGTTTTATCATTTCACAATTTTGAACATAGGTAATTGTTTAAAGAATAAAGAGATAAAACTCCAAATGGGGACAGTGTGAGCCCAATGGAGTTGAAAATTGTCGAATAATGAAAGTTAGATACATCACAATAATACTTTTATACCTTTTATTGTCTGAATATTGCAATGGGGGTAAGAATAGGGCTTTGTTTTAAGGAAGACTGGAGCACCTACTTTATTCCCCTAATAAATACAGTACATTGTGTTTGTCCAAATAAAAAAACATTGTAAAGGAAATAGACTCTTATGTCTTTATGCGTCAAACATCTTAGAATGTTTTACATACTGACTGATTCATGCTGAGTGAGGGCTGTAACCCACTGAAAAAGCTGATCTAAAGATATGACCGAGGCCAAACTTGTGAAAACTAGTGATAGAACAAAACTGCTTTGAGAGTAAGGAACTAGTTCAGACCTGTGAAAAGTGCGGCCCGGGGGCCATACCCGGCCCGATTCACATTTCTACGCTGCCCCTATCTGCCATCTCCCCACCCCTGAACTAGTTACATGAATTGCATCACATATAAGATATAACCCATTATTTGTGGTTTCAAAGTTAGGTACTCCAGCTTTAATTAAACAAGACACGTATTGTGCGTACGATCCTGGCCATTAACCGCCTCAAACATCCACAGTGGGTCGATAGGCAGTTGTGTTTGTGCGATATTAAATAGGCCTCGTCCCTCTGCCCTTCTCAGATGTATAGCTAAGCGGCTTGGAGTGGCTGTCATATCCGGATCCTCTTGTCTTTGTCAGATTGGAGTCCATTGTGCGAGCGCGAGTGTGAGAGAGGGAGACTGGGCAGCGAGAGCCTCTATTGTGGAGAGATGAGTCAGGGGTAGCGTGTTTACTGCCCTGTCCGTCGCCTAGGTAACAGAGTGGCTCTCATCCGTCCCGAGTATTATCGCCCAATGACAGCGCGCGTACATACACACTCTCAATCAGCCAGCAGTGTATTCAAAGCTCCTTTTTCCGTCCTGCTCCTTTGTCCTTCAGCCATTAATAAAGATGTTTTGTGCATGGACTGCCACACGGTGCGCGGGGATGTGTGAACGCGGGGGAGGAAGGTGTCGTTCCATATCACTTTGGTTTAAATGTGTTTTTATCAATGGGTGGATTATACCAAATTGGCAAATGCGCAATTGTGTGAGAGTAAATCTGAGCAATCACATGAGTCACCTTTGTGGATGGCAGGGCGTGAGGGGAGATCACATGATCAGGTGGAGGCCGGTGTTCTCAGACCTGTTGTCGATCATTGTGCAGGAGACGCCTGAGAAACACACAAGATACAGCTTTGATTTAATATGTGAACTTTGAAGACAAACAGACAAGATAAACACGTGGAGATAAGGTCAAAGTTATGTATTTGTATAGTTCATGTATTTCACATTTGATTTGGTGCATTTTAGTGTTTATTAAGATGGGCAACAAAGTATACAACTTCAATCAATCAATCAGTTCATACCCAAGGCATATGATACAAGCCTTAGCAAAACAAGAAAGGAAACACTCAAATAAATAAATATATACATATATATATATATATATATATATATATATATATATATATATATATATCACAGTACAAACAAACAAGTGTGGATATAATTCTTCGGTTGCACAGCTAAACAGACCCGGTTTTTAACCTGTCAAAGCATTGTCAAGTAGAAACCAGTCTCACATTTTCAGGAAGACTATTTTAGCTCTATTGTTGCCCAGCATTCTCCAAAAGTAGAATGCTAATTCCCCATGTTTATTCCTGACTCTGGGCATAGGATCATATTAATGACATGCATAGACTTTTTCATAAAACTAAATGACCATTTTAACAAAACATCCCGTCCTGCTACACCCAGAGGCTACTGTACACCACCTCTTCTACTGTGACCTGAAGGGCTGTTGCTGATTAATATTATTTTTTAACTTTTTAGAATGATACATTTTATTTTTTATTTTTGCTGCTACTGGACACCTGAATTTCTCCTACGGGGATCAATAAAGTTTCTATCTATCTATATCTCTCTGTCTATCCCATTTTATCCGAGCCATTTCTGAGAGTGGCACAAGCCTGAGTCACGCATTTCTCTCCTCAACCCAACTCTATTCTATTGAAATGACACAGATTCTACAATGATGATAAGCCCCATTCACAGGTGGTCAATCTGACCTGTTACTGTTCGCACGGTGACAGAGCTGGTAATGGCGTTTTATCAGAAGATGGAGCAGAGTAGCACTCTCGTCAGCTCCCAGCTGTGCTTTCATGAGCGGAGGATGGTGACACAGTCAACTGTCAAGACGTTTTCTCTTTCTTTTTCTCCATTACTTCTCTCTATGTCCACTGAAGGTCTAAAAACTTAAATCAGCATAAACTTTGGCTCTGATCACTAATATGAGACGGTGTTGTTGGCCGATGGAGCTTTTGAAGTGATGACGCCAGGTACTCTGCCTTGATGGTTACATGCATATGGTCTATTCATATCTACATTTAGACAGAAGCAAGTCTCTTAACAGCTACAATCCAGCAGGAAAGAAAAGCTGGGTTTTTTTGTGAAGGTTGTCTGAAGCAGTGACGCAGTAAGGTTGGCGTTTGTGTAACTGTGGCAACCAGAGTACAGTACACAGACTGACACTATGGCTCGCACCACAAATGTATAAAAATGTATAAGAGGACGCCCAGCAATAATGTTCATGGTGCCCTGTTTTTTTCCCTTTTAATCTAAATTCAATGATAAATACATATAACACTTCTTCGACATAGCAGCCTTCTATTGTAAGCAAAAAGTCTGCTACACTGAGTGAAAGCAATGTGTTCTTTCTTGTCTTGAGGATAAACTTTGAGCTGGAATACTAAAACTTGAACATAAAATTCCCTTTGTTGCCATTTCACTTATGTTAATAGCAGCCATTGTCACTTATACAGTACCTGAATTTTAAAGCATGTTTTAGCTGAACTCACAGTAGATGAATTATTATAGATCAATGCAAGATGTGATGAATTAATTCAGCTGGCTCCATGCAGGTAGACAACTGTCTTAGGGCCCTTCACACACCACCCCCTCAGTCCCCAAATAGAGCGTGTGCATAGTATTTCCATTGATCGCCTGCCATCAAGAGGAGTCCAACCAGCCCATAGGTTTTAATGCCTGGGTTTAGTTCTGTAGACGAGAAATGTTATTCAAGTGAAGTTAAAATTGGATGGAAAGGATGAAAAATAAATATATATATATCTTTGGATATTAAGCAGTCTGTAGAATAAAAAAAAGTCGAGGTAAGCGAGAGCCCTAGATAGAAGTGATGATTGCACTGTAACCTGAGATAGTGTCACAAGGAGCTGAGGTTTGCCTATTTACCTTCGCTCTGTTCGCACACTTAATCTTGAGATGACCTTAGCATTCGAAACGCAGTGTACTTCTTCTTGAATATCCCGAAAAGACGGATAATCAATCTCAGCTATTGTTTACATACTTTCCCCTACAACACTTCACGCTTCTTGGCTCCATTCAAATCTCATTTTGGCTCACAATGCCAACCTAATGGAGAGGCTTGTATTGTATTATGAATAATTTAAAAGCACTGCACAGGGAAATTGATTCACAAAGATAAATCGGGAGACGTTTAGAGATATATACGGTTACAGTGATGATGAGTGTGTTGGGGAAAAAAAAAAAACAGGACCAGTGCTGGAATGGCAGTCACATTCTGCCCTGGTATAGTCATTCATACTAAGAGAGAAGAATCCCGCACACCGTCTTACTTGCAAATAAAAATTATTTATTTAAGGAGCTGCTTAGTCATTCATACTAACAGACAAAACACCATTCATATCACGTACGGGTCTACGGTGAGCTGGGGCGACCACACATAGGCTGCTCGGATTAGTAATGAATCACCCACAGGGAGATGGACTGTTGCATCTCTCTCCGGTAACTCCCACATTGTCACAAACAAACGGTATGCGCGAAGACGGTGCAAAGATTTTGGAAAGAAGCAACATGTTGTCAAGGCAAGCAGAAGGCATAACCCCCCCACCATCTCCACCATCTCCACCAAAGAAAATAAATGACGAGCTGTTGCGGTATAGCTGTAGATAGATAATTAGAATTCAACTCGCGCAAAAGCTTGGAGAGCGATGGGGAGAAGGAGCGGATCTGTCGCGCCTCTTACCTTCCCTGGCTCAGTGCGTTTTTCACATGGCCCCTCCGATCCAAATCAAACCCCGTTCGCGGCTTCTCTGTCTGGAAGAGCGTGTGTTCATGTGAGACAGGCTGGAGATGGGAGAGAAACAGGAGGAGGGGGTGTAAAAAAGGGGGTAATGGGGAGGGAGGGGAGGCGGAGGATGGCAAATAGGAGATAAAACAGGAATGTGGTATGTATGTGGCAGAGGAGAGGAGGAGGAATAAAAAGTCCAAAGGGTCCTATTTTCTTTTGTTTGTATCCTGGAGGAGAGAGAGTGAGAGAGAGGAGATCCACAGGCGGCAGCTCCGTAGGTATATGCAGCAAGCGGGAGGCTGGCTGTACGGTCGCCTTGGCAACAGAGCCTGGACGATGGAGGCAAATACGGTAGAGGAGGAAGGGGGGGGGGTGTTAGTGTGTGGAGGCATTGGTAACATAGCATATAGAACCATACAACTACATGATGAAGATGTATGACCACTGCAGGACTCGTAAATCACATGGCTAAGCAGCTTGCGCGATTTCCTTTTGAGGACAGTACAATAGCAATAGACGTGCTGTAGTTTCTGCTCTTCACAAATTGGAAACATGTAAACCTAGGCTACCTGTTGGGAGCTCAATAGTCTCAAAGGCAAAGATGCAAACAGCAATTATGAGGCTAAAAAAACCAACGT